GGTCTTACGCCCTGGCCCTGTACTGCCCCACCCTGGTTGCGCATTAGAGTCTCCTGGAGAGCTTTCCAAACTATTGAAACTCATTCCCACCCTCCCCGAACTCTCTTTAAATTAATTTTATTTTCAATTACAGTTTGCATTCAATATTATTTTGAATGAGTTTTAGGTCACCCTGCCCTAACTGTTAGAGGTGAAGTCTGGCCATGAGTATATGTTAAAGTTCCCCAGGTCACTCTAATGTTCAGCCAGGAAATGGACCACTAGGCTGTTGCCCTATTGTGAACATACCAAGCCCTGTACCCGCCACCCTTTTGCACACAGCTACCTCCATCTAATTCCTTTTTTTCCCTTTTGTGTATATTAAGACTTTGCTCATTCTTCAGTACCTGAGCCCCCTCACTTCTCTGAAGGGTTGTCAGAACTCTGCTTTTTCCCAAGAGTTGAAGGTTCTCTATACCATGTTCTCCATAGCACTTTCTACATTTTTCATGTACTTGTCAGTTGTGAGTTATGTAAAGGAAGGACCTGTATCCATAACGTGCCCCCAAAGCCTTGCATCATGCTTAGCATCTCAGCCTGAAGAGACACCAATCTCATCTATTATACAATCATTACTCAATTACCTGAAATATCAAGATGAAAAAGCTACTACCCTGCCATGGTGACAGTCAAATCTTGCCAGAGTAATTGGATTTTGTTCTATGATAACATAAAAAACTAACAAGAAACAATTGTTACAGTGACTGTGTGTTGAATGAATGGCCCACTTTATCTCAATTTCAATGAAGTTCTTAATGCTTTCATGAATACTTTTCTCAGTGATCATCGAGGGAAAGCATTGTCCCAGTTATACAATTTAAGTGGATGGGGAAGTAGTAGGACATTAATTATCAAAGAAAAACTTCTATAATTAATAATTAATAAACGGGATTCATTAGTGTAATGCCATTGCAAAAAAAAAAAAATGTGGGGAAGAGCCTGCATGCCTACTAGAATGTGAATCATTATTAAGTTTTGGTCGCCACGATTCATCAAGGAGATGGAGAAACATGTGAGGATTCAGAGGTGAATGCCAAAGATAATTAAAGGAGCGGAAAACAGATCCTGTGAGGGAAGGCTGTATAATTAAAGCAAGAAAAGGCCAAGAGACACACATCTGATTACTAATTATATATAATACACACATATTTTTGTGAGATATTTTCTTTATATCCAGAAAGAAATAAGCATGAAGAAATTTGCTTAAATTACAGTAGGCAAGTTTTGGTTGGACATTAAGAAAAATATTCTAAATGATTGGATTTCAAAATGCAAATCTGATCATGTTAATCTCTAGTTTTTAAAAAAAAACCAACCTTAATTGAATTCCCATTATTTCTAGATCAAAGTCTACATATTTTTAAATTTTTAAATTTTTTATTTTTCTATCTTCACCCAAGGACATTTTTTAAAAATTACTTTTAAAGAGAGGAAGGGAGAGGGAGAAACATCAGTGCGAGAGAGAACGTCAGTTAGAAACATCATTTGTCTCCCCTACAGGCCTGGATTGGGGATTGAACCTGCAACCTAGGTGTGTGCCCTGGCCAGGAATCAAACCTGTAACCTTTGGTTATGGGACAATGCTCTAGCCAACTGAACCACATTGGCCAAGGATACTTTTTTTTTTTAAGTGAAGCATGTAAGTTATTAATTAGCTGTTTTTTGACACATCAAGCTTCCAATGACATTTTTTTTTGAAGATGACATATTAACAGTGCTTTGGGAATTTTAACCTGTTGGAAAATGAACTTATGAATGATGCAGAAATCATATTGTCATATCAAAAATAGGTGTGATAAATAGTAAAAAGAAGAAAAAGAAGAGGAAACAAACACATAGCCCCAAATTGCTTATGTTGTGGCCCAAATGCTCTTTCTATGTTATGTTGAGACACAGCTTGAATCCCAAACCCAGCTTTAATCATGAAGTGGATGAGCCACAATGTATGATAGTATTCTATCTTATGAACAATTTAATACTAGGTTTTTATTAAGTAAATTTACATTTGTTTTAAGCTGAAATACAGTATTTAAGATATGTATTTTTTTTAAGATTCCAATCTTCTACATTTTGAGGATAATTTTTTCAACGTTTAATCTAGAATAATTTCAAACATACAGGAAAGTTACAATAATAGTACAAAGAATACCCATGTACTTTTATCCAGATATACCTGTTGTTAACATTTTACTCCATTTGTGTGTTTGTGCGCTCTTTCCTCCTCCCCCCAAACTTTTTGTTCTGCCCACTTGAGAATAAACTGCATACATCATGGACCTTTACATATAAATCCTTCAGGCTCTATTCTCTAAGAATCTGAATACACTCATACAGAACCACAGGACAGGCATCCGCTTCCGTAAATTTAATATAGATACAACGCTTTTATCTAATCTACCATCCATGTTCCAATAGTTTCCATTGACCCAATAATATCCTTTATAGGTGTTTTCTTCTCCTTTAGTACGAGATCTCATGAAACCCTGTGTTTTTCCAAATGGCACCTGAGGCTCTCCACAAACAAAACTCTAGGGTTTTCTCTTTCTGGTTCCAAGCACCTTACCTTTCCCTCCACTGCAGGTTCAAGCCCCTGAGTTTCTGCTCCTTGGAGTGCTTAGTACCCCTTACCTTACACAACACCTACATTTCTTTTTCTGCCAATAGTCAATTTTTTTATGACTACTTTCCTAACTGCCCTCCTGAGCCCAGATGTAGCTGACCCAGCTGGAAGGCAGGGGGCTTCCCCCTTACTCTCTCCACCCCTAGGTGTACTTGGAATATCTTAGTGCATATTCATGAGTACATATCTGCTCCCCATCCTAAGTCAGTCTTATCCCCTGTTGTGAGACTCTAGGATCTTTGAAAAAATGAACCACATTTCATTGGTCTTTGTGTCCCGAGATGTTAACACAGGGTCTGTCACACAGGAGGTGCTTTATAAATATTTACCAGCAATGGAAAATGTCACTGTAAAGAGCTGCTGAAGGAAGTTGTAGGAGCCTGATCCCAAAGAGCTTCAAAAGAAAGGAGAATGCTCTTCTAACCAGGGGCCTTAAAATGGTCTAGGGGAAGACAAATTAGTGTAGGTTGGGGAGATTGGTCTCTTCCAATGAAATGGTAGACTATGGTGAAATCAGACATAACCTTTACATTTCTTAAGGTTTCTCAAGGTCACACACAGCCTTCACAAGAATGTGAACTGCATTGTTTTTATAATTTTTAATTTTGCACTAATTTTAGACTTCTAAAAAAATTACAGAAATAGGACAGAGAGTTTCTAGAAATCCTTTACTCAGTGCTTCCCCTGATAGTAACATCTATAATCATAGAATGATGATCAAAACCAGGAATTTAGATTTGGCACAATGCTAACTACACACTGTATTCACCAGCTTTTCCACTCATGCCTTTTTTCTGTTCAAGGATCCTATCCAGGATCTCACATTGTATTTAGTTGTCATGTCTCCTTAATTGCCTCCAATCTATGACAGTTCCTTTGTCTGTCCTTGCCTTTGTGATCTTGACACTGTGGAAGAGTATCGGCCAGTCTTTTGTATAGGATACCTCTCATTTGAGTTTGTCTGCTGTTTTCTCATGGATAGAGTGAGGTTCTGCATTTTTGACAAGAATACTGCTCTAATGGTGTGATATTGTGCCCTTCTCAGAGCACAATGTCCAGGGTACATGATCATGTTTTATTAATGGTGACATTGGACTTGATCACTTGGGTCAGGAAGTTCTGCTGGATTTTCCCTGTAGAGTTACCATCTTTTTCTTTCAAGTTCATAAATATCTTAGAGATACTTTGAAACTATGCAGATACCCTGTTTCTCTTCAGACTTTTATCAGCTAATATTTGCATTCATCAGAGAATCTTGTCTGTAACAAATTTTACTGTGATGCTTGCATAAGAGTGAATTTCTTATTTCTCTCTTTCCTTCTATATCTATTGGTTAGAAGAATTCTTTTGGGAGAAGGAGCTGCATAGACTGGATTTGGACTTAGATGCAGAATGACACATACTTCTAATCATTATTTTCTGATCTTTTTTGATTCATCAGATAATTAGTTTAATAGCTGTATTTAAAAATTTCTTTATTGTTCTTATCTAAGTATTTACATTTTATTAATATTTAAATAAAGGCATTGCAGTCATATAAGTTATTGCTACATTTTCTTTATTATAGGCAGACTACATGACTGTCAATTTTATAAATGAAAAATCAGTGATGTATTGAAAAAAATGTTAATTAAAAAAAAAACCCTGCAACTGAATGGCGTTAAATGAGGCACAGCCTAGATGTAGTCCTTAAACAGTGACTAGCTCTTCCTTTTTCTTCTGAATATCTAGTAGTAAAAATAATGCTGTTGATGCCTAGCCACAGATAGATCAAGGAGCACATGTAAACTCTCAATCAGGAGAACTTTAATTTTAGCATTTCTTGGTTTTAGTATGTTTGCATTGTTAATTGTAGCTGAATTACAGAACACAGTGTATTTAGCATGAGCTCAGCAATTTTTATTGACCGTAGTTATTGTGCAGGGTTTGCCCACAGTGGTTAGTCAACAAAAAAGCATTGACTTCAGCTGATTCATTTCTGAGTTGGTGAAAAATTCACTTTCTAAGAATAGTTTCTTTAGTTCTACAAAAAATTGTTTAAGAGCATTGTTTACGTTAGAGGTTGACAGACTTTCTGTAAAGGGTCAGAAAATAAATACTTTTGGCTTCATAGGCCATTCAGTCTTTGTCACAACTACTCAACTTTGCTGTTGTAGTGTGAAAGCAGCCATATACGATATACAAGTGAGTGGGAAGGACTGTGTTCCAATAAAACTTTATAAGAACAGGTGGCAGGTGGATGGGGTGGGTATAGTCTGCTGATTCTTGATTTAGATTATAAAAATACACAAATGCAAAATACACCGTAGCATTTATCCTTGTCCTGGATTTTTCTCTACAGGCAGAAGACTGATCTTTGAAAATATGTATTTGGGAGATAGTCACGTTCTGTTGAATACCTTGTGCTGGTGCTGCCATAGAAAAATCTGGTTACACTCCGGGGAGGCCTGCTGCTGCTGCAGGACTGAACCACCTCGGCCCTGAGATGAGCGTCCGGCCTGCGTGGGCACACCATGAATAGATACACAACGATCAGGCAGCTTGGGGATGGAACCTACGGTTCCGTCCTGCTGGGAAGAAGCATTGAGTCTGGGGAACTGATTGCCATTAAAAAGTAAGTTTTTTCCTTCACTCTCATGAATCTCTCCTCAGCCATACATTGTCAACTTTGCTTTAACTCTGCTCACTCCATTCCTCGTTTTTGAAACATTTCTAAAGGAGAGTGCACAGGAAGCATGGAGAAGAATTTGGACATTGATTTCTGTGGGTTAGGTGATTGTCGACTCTGGAATACTCATGTTAGAGGTCTTAAACACATTGCCACTTTAGACTTGCTACCTAGCATACAGCACTATTACTTTTTCAAAGTGTTTTCTTCTCTTGTGAGGTAGTAACAAGTAGGTTAATAAATATTATTTCATGGGAAAGGAAACTGAAGCTCTGAGAAATTAAGTGACTTAAGTTGAATCACTTACACATGTGGTGATCTGGTGACTACTGACTTGTTCCCCCAACCCCACTTGCCCTTTGCAGTCTGAGTTCAGACTCATTGTATTAGTCATCTGTTGCTGCATAAAAGTTGACCCCAAGAATTGGTGGTTTAATATAACTATCTCACAGATTCAGTGGGTCAGGAGTCTGCGCATGGATTAGCTGGGTTCTCTGCTTTAGGGTCTCTCATGAGGCTGCAGTCACGGTGTTGGCTGGCGCTGGGGTCTTGTCTAAAGCTGGATTGGGGAGGAATCTAGTTCAACGCTCCTTCACAGGATCACGGGCAGCATTCAGCACACCCTGAGGTGTCGGACTGAGGGCCACAGTTTCTGGTTGGCTGTGGGCTGGAGGCAACTTACTTCATCAAGACATGGGAGCCAAGAAGGCAAGACGAGCCTTCTAAAAAAATGGAGGCCACATCTTTCTGTTGTTGTTGTTTTAAACTAAGCACAGAAGTGATAGCCTCTCAAATTGCTGTATTCTATTGATTAGAAGCAAGTCATTGAAGGAGAGTGGGTTATACCAGGTGTGAATAGGAGATGGGGGTCTTTGGAATATGTCTGCCACACCCATTTATATCCAGTTGCTTTCTCAGCATCTCCATTTGGATGTCCTATAGGCACTTCAAATTCATCGTATCTAAAACTGAACTTTTATCCAACACGTTCTGCTTTTGCTTCCAACCTGTTTCTTTCTCAGCATTCCCTGTCTTGATAAATGACACTACCATCCCCACAAAAGCTGAGAGTCTTCCTGACTTCCCTTCATATGCTGGTCAACTAGTCCTGTCCCTTCTAACTACTAACTGTTTATCTGACCCACCTACCTCTCTATATTCCACTGTTAACTTCCCTTTCAATCCATTATGTTTTACCACCTCTGCTGCTGGAATAATTTCCTCTGTAGGATTTTCCTGTCTTCCATTCTTAGTCCCATCTATTCCTTTCAGAAGGGGTTATTTTAAACATATGAATCTAATTATCTAAAACCATTTGTGCTGAGTATCCGTTGTGTTCTGCTGCCCCAGCATGTCTTCTGGCTCCAGGGTGCTGTGGAGTATAGTTTCATGCCTGCCACCAGCATCCCACCACAAGTACCTGCAGGACACTCTCAACCAGCGTGCCTCCTACATAGTTCCTGAGAAGGTCCCCCAGCAGGCCGACCTTGGTATCAGCTCAGCAGTGTACCCTTTAATAGATTTCCTACCTCTCTGTTCCCAGTTTCCCTGCTCCTTGCCCAGACTTCCTGAAATCACCTCCCAAATAAATTGTCTCCACCTGAGTGAGTCCTGGCCTCAGGCTCTGCTTTCAGGGGAACTCAAACTAAGATAGCTTTCATGTCGTCCTATCAGTTTTAGGATCAAGCCCCTGATTTTTAATGTGACCTATAAATAGCTGCCTTGTTCAGCCCCTGCCTGTTTTCTTCAGCTGTATCTCCTATCGTGACCCCCTGCCTACTTTGTTCTGCCCACTCTGGCCTTTCAGCTTCTTGAGCTCACCAGTACCATTCTGCCCCAAGCCGTCACATGATATTTCCTTTCCCATGCCTCCTACCAAACTAGATTCTACTCATCCATCAGGTTTTGGTTGAAATATCGCTTCCCTCGGGGAATGCTCCCACTACCCCAGATGAGATTAGGTCGCCTAGGGGCCCTCTCTCAATGCCCTGTACCTTTCCTTCCATTACTTAGTACAGAAAATGATTAATTACCTGCCCTCCTGCTAAGATGTCAGTTCCATGAGGGATGTCTCTCTCATCATTGTATCTCCAGTGCCTGACAGAGTCCCTGCCACATAGGAGGGGCCAAGTAATTTAGGGCATGAATAAGGGAATTGGTCACTCAACTAGGAGACAGTGTGACGTTGGTGGCAGGGTGTCAGAGTGATGTGGAAAGATGAAAGTTTGTCTATTATTAGCCAACAGTGAGATCTTGGGAAAATTGTGTCACTTCTCTGTTTCTTAGTTTCCTGGCCTGCCCTACCTATTTCACAGGGCAGCTGTAAGATTCAAACAAGACAATGTGATTCAAATGCAATGAAAGATATAACCTCAAAACCTGAGTTTCTGGTTACCTAATAGGCTTCTCTTCCTCACTTCAGGCTCCATACCAGGAATTGGCAAACTCGTTCTGTGAAGAGCCAGACAGTAAATATTTTAGGCTTTGCAGGTCATATGGTCCCTGTCACAACTCAGCTCTGCTGTCGTAGTGTGAAAGCAGTCATAGACCATATATGCATGAATGAGTGTGGTTGTATTCCAATAAAACGTCATTGTGGAAACTGACATGTGAATTCCAGATAATTTTCACATGCCACAAAATCTTCTTCATTTGAATTTTCAGTCCCAACTATTTAACAATATAAATGCCCTCTTAGCTCATGGGCTTTAGGAAAACAGATGGCGGAGCGGAGTTGGCCTGTGGGACATAGCTTGCCAACCCTTGTACCAGGATGCCTAGAACAATACTGTTTAACATGGTAGCAGGTAACCATGTGTGGCCTTTAAATGTAAATTTAATTAAAATTCAGTTCCTATGTTTCATTAGCCACATTCCAAGTGCTCAGTAGCCACATGTGTCTATTAGTCACCATACTGGACAGACAAAGCATTCCCAAGCATAACAGAAAGGTCCGTTGGACAGCTCTGGTCTACATAAAATAAGAAACAGGGCTTCCCTTCCAGGCAAGACTAACCTGTCAGTGATAGAGCAAGAGAGCAGTCCAGGCCTCTTTGGACTACTCTGTACCACCTCTGCTGGGAAATTTGGTGACACAGGATTGATAGCATTGTCAAGTTTTAAAATAAATGCTGTTTTGGATAGTGGAATATTCTATAGAAATCAAAACCATTTTAAGCACATTCATTAAGCTCAGAATGAAAACTTTTTTTTCAAAATAAAGTTTAACCTGTGACTGGTAGTAAGCATACTGTTTGTTTCTTTCTTCTCTTTTAGAATGAAAAGGAAGTTTTATTCCTGGGAGGAATGCATGAACCTTCGGGAGGTTAAGGTATTTATTAATACAGTAGGGAATAACTTATGTATGGTTGATTAAAACAGTGCTATACATGCTTAGATTTGTTGTTGATATAGTCATTCTGTGTGAATTGTTTCACTGAAGCCAAAAAGGGGGGAGAATGATAACACTAATGCTTTTAGTGAATATATTTTATTTTAAATCTTGGTTTATTACTATTAAATAAATCACAGATTTATTCAAATTTCAATAGTTTCCCACTGAACTTTTTTCTTTCAAATTGTGATGAAATACAAATAAGATAAAATTTCCCATCTTACCAATTTTTAAGTGTATATTCATATCGTTTTACAACCATTATCACCATCTATCTCTAGAACTCTTTTCCTCTTGCAAAACTGCAACTCTGTACCCATTAAACAGTAACTCCCCATGACCCCTCCCCCAGCCCCTGGCAACCACCATTCCACAAGTGTAATCATACAGTACAGGCAGATCTCATTTTATTGTGTTTCACAGATGTTTCATTTTGTTTTTTGAGGGTTTTTTCTTAAATATTTTATTTTTTTATCTTTAGACAGTGGGGACGAAGGGAGAAAGACAGGGAGAGAAACATTAATGTGGGGTTGCCTCTGGCACGCCCCCAACTGGGGACCTGGCCCACAGCCCAGGCAGGCGCCCTGACTGGGAATCAAACCGGTGACCCTTTGGATCTCAGGCTGGTGCTTAATCCACTGAGCCACACCAGCCAGGAGATGTTGCATTTTGTACAAATTGAAGGCAAAACCAAAATCCTCCAACTCACTGTATTGCAATACTCGCTCACTGAGGTGGTTTAGAACCAAACCCATAGTATCTCCAAGGCATGCTTGCATTATCTTGTTGTGACTGGCTTATTTCACTTAGTGTAATGTCCTTAAAGTTCATCCATGTTGTAGCATGTGTTAGAATTTCCTTCTTGTTTAAGGCTAAATCATACTTCATTGTCTGGATATACCACATTTTGCTTAACCATTCATCCATTGGTGGACACTTGGGTTGCTCTCACTTTTTGACTATGGTGAACCTCCCCATTTCTTTAAACTTCTTTTCCACTGGCCCCTTCTCTTCAGTCTATAAATGTGCCTGCCATTCTCTGTAATCAGCCTCAGCCCTCTCTCCCCTTGAGCTTCTACCCCTTTCCTTTCCTTACCTTCCCAACAACTCCTTTTGTGATCATTGCCCACCTACCACTGACTTGAGTCAGGCATCTCTCTGCAACGCCACGGAAGCTGCTCTCCTAAAGTCGCCAGTCGCCAAGTCCAGGGCCCTTTTCTCAGGCACTTTCTTGCCTGCAATGTTGGGTGCTGTTGACCGCTTCTTCCCCTCCTCTCCCAGGGCTGTGTGGCTCTGCTGTTGCTTAGCTGTCCTACCTTTTTCTTGCCTTTCACCAGTTCTTTTATGGTTCTTCCCTTAAATATCAGTGATTTCTCACATTCTGTTCTTAGCAATTTTTCCTTCGCTCTGACTCTCCTCCTG